TTCAGCAGTGAACTGCAGTAAACTGTAAAGTAAAGTAAAGTTACAGCCTATATACTTCCCACTGCTGGGCACAGGCATCCCCCGATTTCTGAGATGGTTTTGGGGCAAGTAAGTGTCCGCCGCGCTGCCCCAATGCGTGTTGGCGAACTTCACATGTCTTCGAAATATTTTTTTCCTATTCCTCAAACATGCAGGTTTCCTCACGACGTTTTCCTTCACCGCCGAGCACGTGGTAAATCAGCACTTAAAATTGCAATTAACAATTTTATTGGTGCCGGCGGGGTTCGAACCCGGGTTACTCGCGTTCTGTTATATTTACAGCGAGCGTTAACCATCCGAGCTACCACGGCTCGTACTGTTAAGTAATTCTTTATAAAATGTAACAAATAAAATTTGTTATGGAATTATGTTGTTGCGACGTAAATTACACCGTACAAGTATGAAATTAGTATTGTTTTATGACATCAATATGAATGCTCTTAATAAAAATCTTCCCACATAATAAACACCCTACGCATGGGTAGGTTACGACAAAGATGTATGTGGCGATGTAAGCACTTTTACAATAAAATTCCAGAAAATATTCAAAGTTTGTTTATCAAGTCATGTTTAAAATTTTGCTGAAGTAAAACTGTATAAATAGGTTATTATAAGTACCCGGATAACCGAGCTCTGCTCGGCTTTTTTTTTGAAATTAGATTTATAAATTACATACTGAGATAACATAAATAATATTTTTGATCTTATGGACATAATAGAAAAAACTGAACTGGTTATTTGAATAAAAAATCATGAGTGCAACTACTTTTATTAAAATTTTCGTATTTTTAAAAAATACTAAAAAAAAAGGAATTGAAATAATAGATTTTCTCACAAAAAGAAAGGAACTTGAAAAAAAAAGAAAAAAGCCGAACCAGAGACAGGACGCGAACCACGGAACTCAGATATTACGCCTGACCGACATCCCACCTGAGCTATTACGATCGTTATTTTGCTGTCAAAATTTACCTTCTAGCAGTTTTTTTATTCCCTGAAAAAACGGATAAAAGGACATTTTCTAAAAATAAATCCTAGTTAAATTGATTTATTGCCCCCGAAACTCCCTGGACACTAATTTTTATGAAAATCGTTGGAGCCGTTTCCGAGATTCCGATTATATATATATATATATATATATATACACACACGAATTTCTCGTTTAAAGGTATAGGATAGGATGAATATATAAATGAAAAATAATAATAACAATTACTATGCTGGTTATATTATAATTCAAATAAATAATTGTAATTTATGTCTAAAAATAATAATAATCTCAGTTTCATACTGGTTTTTCCCAGGTTCCTGTGACCGATATTTTTAGAACCAGTAGTTAATAAAGAAATTGACTTCCAATAAGTATTATGTAATAAGTAATAACCAATATTACATAAAAATATTCTATTCCATTCTATACTCCTAAGGTCATTACGATTATAAAATGAATGTCAATTGTCGTCGTCAACCCACTTGCCCATATTAACAAGATGTTTACAGATTGAATGAGAACATTTAATGAGATTTCTCGAGTTATGATCTTGTCAATTATTTAGTAATTATTTTATCAAAAATTAAAATAATAATAAACAAAATACGCCAACAGTTCTCAGAACGATATTATCCGTAGATTTTTCTTTATAAACGTTCCATCGGTTTAAGAGCCTTTGTGATATTTATAAACGATTACAAGTCACTCATAGCTAGAGTCGTAGTAGCTCAGATGGTTAACACTCGCTTTAAATATAACAGAAAGCGAGTAGAGAGAGTTCGATCCCAGCCGGCACCAATGAAATTGTTAATTGCAATTTTAAGTGCTTATTTATCATGTGCTCGGTGGTGAAGGAAAATATCGTGAGAAAACCTGCATGTCTGTGGAATAACAAAAAAAAATATTACGAAGACGTGAAGTTCGCCAACACGCATTGGGACAGCGCGGCGGATACTTCCCTGCCCTAAAACCCTCTCAGAAATGGGAGAAGGCCTGTGCCTAGCAGTGAGACGTATATAGGCTTTAACTTTACTTTTTTATAAGACACTCGACGATATGACTCTAATCTTAGGGGGAGAGGCAAGGTCCTACTACGCCATGTGCGCAGACACTTTGGTTGTTTATCGTCTCAGAGCAGAGGTACTTCGTTTAGAGTTAGCCGATAAACCTTCAGTTTTTAACCTGTCGGACAGGCGACTATGGTAATTATCCCTCCTATGTATAAAGAAGAATGCATTTCATGTTGTACAGCCACGTTGCAGCTAGATTATGGTTGTAATACGAATGGGTCGGCCGACCGGGATAGGACCATTTTGATGATGATGCAATCCATGATGATCATTACCAAAATCCAGATGAGTTGTAGGATCTACATTTTTATTCTTAATCGAAGATATATGTAGATGTCTATGGGCCACAGTTTACCATCAATTGGCTGTGTGCTTTTTTGTCATTGTTATTCTATAAGTAAAAGTAAAAGCAAAAATTTCATACTGAAAATTCTATCTTTTTAAACAAAAATGTAGGAAATTTATAACGAAAGCATCTGCTGTCAACTGTAAGTTCGCACTTGCACGGACACTCTTTACAATTTTTTCCACCATTAGACCGACAAGAGTCCGAGACTTTTAGTGTGAGTAGATTTTCACGGATGTAGTATATTTTGCAGGAAAGCAGCAACGGAGCGAATATATTTTCATTTTATTCATATTTAAAGTGACTATCAACAACATCTTTAAAATTATCTCGTGAATTTTCAGATTTATATTTGTAAGGTAGATATTTGCAATAACTTTTTTTCAATTTATCGCGCTCTACGTTTCACAGGTGTGCCAGGTGTCCTCGGCAATGGCAATTTTAAGCGACAATTTGTATTAGAGCCATGTTACAGCTATGTTATAGTTTTACCACTAATGGGTCTGCTCGACCGCGGTAGGATCACGCTCTCACGGAATACTAACGTAAAGTAGCAGCTTAAGGCTGCGTTTCCACCAGAGATGTGCGATGGAAATGTGTCGTACGAGGATGTCTAGCTGTGCTGTGAAAATGTGTGGGAGTTTCCACCAAAGCTGTGCGATGAAAATGTGCCTACTAGGATGTGTAGCGGAGCTGTGAAAATGCGCAATAATGTGTGGTGCGAGGATGCGTTGCGAAGCTGTGAAATGTGTCGACGCGGGTGCGGTGTAGTGGGAGTGGAACGCCTGCCTGCCGCTCACGTCTCACTTTTTTTTTTTTTTTTTTTTGCGCCCGAAGCAATTAAAGGGCTACCCTATACGTAGGGAGGCGGAAAATGCATTACGCATACCACGATAGCCGGTCTATCGTGGTTATGAGGGGCTCACTGTCCTACCGCTGTCCCTAAGTGATACACTCTAAAAACCGCCTTTGGGGACAGGCAGCCGGCTGATTAAGCTGTATTGTGCCTTATCATGAGCGACCCTCTTTTGGGAAAAGAGGGCGCAGGCGGCTAAGTGCCGCTGAGGGAGTGCCTACGAAGGCAAATTAATGTTAGTTATTACAGTAATTTAATTTAATTAGAGTTGGCCTGAGCCGATAAGGAGACAGTTCAGGTCGTTTGACAGTTTATTAGGCGGGTCCGAGAGAGAGTTTCTCGGCCTGCGGACGGTCACGTCTCACTTTGCTGTCGTTATCTTTTGTAGTCTTATGCACGTCGTATGGTTGCGTAGCGTAATGGACGAAAAATTAATTGATGTTGTTAAAAAGTTTCCGTGTTTGTGGAACACTTCTTTGTCTTTTTACAAATGTAATGAAACAAAGGACGCTGCGTGGGAGGAAATAGTCAAAGAAATAAAATATAAAGATGGTAAGTAATAATCAGGTATATTGAAATACAGGTTACAATATTTGTGTATTTATTGAGTGCGATGAATTCGTGACGAAATACGAGTATCCTGCCAGACACTTTTCCTTGATTATTGAAATAAGAGCAGTATTTCTCTCTTACTTCATTACCATCACTTGACTCGATGACGGAAATGCTAGGAACGGATACAAGAGTATTTGTTTTGTCAATGGAATCCAAATAATTAGTTTGTCTTTCAATTAAAAATTATGCATTACATATGTGGCATTTACGATTTTGTCAACCGTTTCCACTCTGCATTCGAAGTCTTTACGATACACATACCACTTTCGTGCCATTACACCGAATGTAGCTTCCACAACGTGACGTGCTCTCGAAAGTCTACAGTTATAGATAAATACCGTAGATAAATACCTGCAAAAAAGGATTGTTTATAATAATAATAAAATAATAATTTAAATTAAAGTAACAGGTAAAAGTACTTTTTACCTGTTACTGATTTTTTTGCGATCTGTAAGACAATATGCTTCGTATAAAATGTTATATTCCTAATCATAATTTTCTATTATTTCAGTGAAAAGTGCAAAGTATCGTTGGAAACAACTATGGGATAGCCATCGGGACGCGCTAAAGAGGCAGAAATCTAAAAAAAGTGGACAGACTACAACCAAAACACGTGAATGGAAATACCAAAAATTTATGGAATTTCTTTTACCGTACATGGCCAACAGAGATAGAGAGTCAAGTTATAAAGAGGATGTTTCATCACTAAATAATATAAATCCAAATAATAAAGATGACTCTTCGCAAAGCACTCAATATTCATTAAACCAAGATGACTCTTCGCAGAGCACTGAACTCAAGTTGACAATCCCGACACTCTTTACGAAATAGCCTCAACTTAAGGCATTTCATCACATTCGGTCACCCCGTCATCATCAAAGAAGAAAAAAAAGCGATGAATTATCAATTTTAATACAAAAACATATGAAAAATCAAGAAGATTTTCGAAAAGAAAGGCAAGAATTAAAAGAACTTTTAAAACCAACGGACTGCGATGATACTGATCATTTTTTTCTTTCAATGGCGAAGACGTTTAAAAAATTACCAGATTACATGCAAGTTCCTTTAAAAAGGAAACTTTTTAATATGATTAGCGAAGCCGAAGAATCTTACGTGCTGTCGTGGTATAATCAATTTATTGGTTATTCTTCAAGCTCTGGTACCAACGCAAGTAATATAGCAGGCCAGATGGATTCGTCTTTCCAACTAGAAGCTGTACAACCAGCATCTCCGGGGACTAGGAATACAAATAAAACAGCGAAACAGAAGGATTCGTCTTTCCAACTAGAAGCTGTACAACCAGCATCTCCGGGGACTAGGAATACAAATAAAACAGCGGGACAGAAGGATTCGTCTTTCCAACTAGAAGCTGTACAACCAGCATCTCCGGGGACTAGGAATACAAATAAAACAGCGGGACAGAAGGATTCGTCTTTCCAACTAGAAGCTATACAACCAGCATCTCCGGGGACTAGGAATACAAATAAAACAGCGGGACAGAAGGATTCGTCTTTCCAACTGGAATCTGTACAACCAGCATCTCCGGGGACTAGGAATACAAATAAAACAGCGGGCCAGATGGATTCGTCTTTCCAACTGGAAGTTGAACAACCAGCATCTCCGGGAACACAACATTCAGACCTACAAACGAAAAAATACTTCAAACAAAGTAGGAACGGAGCCTAATTTACCATGAAGAAGAGGGACATGTTGTCTAGTTATTTTGCAGATTATGTTGTACTTTTCAATTAATATGTTAAATAAAGACAAAATTGATTCAAACTATTTTACTTACTTTAAACATACCGCCAATTTTTTCTTGGTGCTGATGCATTCTCTGTAGTGAGTGTCTTCCTTTTTGATAATGTTCTCAATCAAATTGTGTAACTCATAAAAGTTACTTCTAGATACCCGATAAGAATTTTCGAATATTTCATCATCAGCCGTATAAAAAAAGGTAAAGAATTCTCCATGTAATCGATGATATTTAATATGGTTACGTATCCAAAACCTGTGTGTTCTTCTATTGCTCAAAATTATAGAACTAATAAACTCCTTATCTTCTGCTTCCATTTCTTCATCGCAAATTGTTAAATATAAAAGTATCTTCTTTTTCAATTATCCATATCTATTTTGCGCTCTTCTACTTCCAACAAACTCCGTCTATGGACTGGCTGGTACAGTATGCGCAAACCTCGCAACACATCCTTCTCAACACACATTCCTCGCAACACATCCCTCCCATACATCCCTCGCAACACATCCCTCGCTTGTTTTGTATGCGCAAAAATCTAGCTCCGCTGAGCCGTTTCCACCAGAGCGGTGCTGACCGAGGCGAGGTAAATGATGCGATTCTATTGGTTCTTTACAAACACATCCCTCGCTACGCATCCTCACACATCTCTGGTGGAAACACAGCCTAATGCTGCTGTGTTTCGTATGGTGAGTGTAGATAACCGAAGACTCTCTATACTGGAAACGAGGCATTCTATATCTGTTCTCACGGGTGATAACGCATATGCATTTTGATTCCTAAATGAGGATAAATGTAGATATCTATGGGCCACAGCATCCACTTACCATCAGCTGGACTGTGTGCTGGTTTGAAAACCTTATTCTGTAAAAAAAACTACAAGCTTAATGGTGAATGAAGAACAACATGAGAAAACCTGAATGTTATTGAAAAAATATTTTGAAAATATGTGAAGTCCGGCACCACGCATTGATGTAGCCCAGCGGTAACTTTCTTCCCCTAAAGCTCTGTCGAAATGAGAAAAGGCCTTAGTCCAGCTGTAGGACGTCTATATTTAAGGAAAACTATTACAATACCGTGTATATTACAGCTACGTCGAAAAAACGCAGAAAATTGTTGTCATCTTTATATGTACGTTGAGAGATGTCTGAATTTTTTTTAAACTGAATTGACAAAAGGAAGTTACATTCCCCTAGGTATGGTAAGTGCTTACTACAGTCCGTGTAAATGGAGCTAATGTTGTCACCTTTGAGAAAAAAAATGGAATGATGAATGAACAGCTTGTAATTATACTGTCTCTTTAAATACTTCGTATAGGAACTCAGTAGTGCAAGACCTATTTGAGGGTAGAATTAGGCAAGAAAATTACCAACTCAAATGGACTCCTAGGCAGAATAGTTGCCCAATCACCTAATTAAGTATACATTTAGATTCAGGATTTCAAAAAAATATTAACTGGAACAAACAATAAAACAAAACACTACTTGTGCAAGATTAACATACACTTATCCAATTTTAGCTGACTTTATAAAAAGAGGAGGTTTACAACTGTACGTTTTTTTGTATGTGTTTTACGTGAATCTTCGTTAGATGTGAACTATTTTTTATGAATTTATTGTGCTGAATAGTTATACTTTAGAGATGATCCTGTATTAATTCGGCGAAAAAATTCTACCTCTAAGGAAGCGAAAATAGAGAATTCTTTTTTACCCTTGTTTTAGCTTACCCTGTGTTTTTCAACATCAGAATGTCACATTATTTAGTTATTTTAAGACCAGTTTAGGGACTTAAATAGGTGTACTAGAGTATTGTTTCTTTTAAAGACTAAGGGTGACAAACAAGCATACGGTCCACCTGACGGTAAGTGGATGCTGTCGTCCATAGACATCTAGATTTATACTATATTAAGATTCAAAATGCAGTTTCCAGTTAATGGGTCTCCAATTCTCTTCACTCACCATACGAAACACAACAACATTAGTCTGCTATTTTACGTTGGTATTCTGTGAGAACGTGGTCCTACCCCAATCACATTGACCATACTATAGCTGCAGCGTGACTCTACCACTTAAAAATATGTTGCAAAATGTTAATGCAGTAAAAAGTTCATTCGGTTCAAATCACCTCTCCTGACGAACTCCTACACGTAGATAATCAACCCGCTTTTCTTGGCTTAGGTAGAAAAACTTTACAACCAATTTTGTGCAATGCGTCAAAATAAATTCGTCATAAGTCGCACGATAAATCGAACTCGGTATATTTTCCACCGCTGTGCCATAGAGTAAAACACAATTTAAATAGAAGCGTTAAGCCTGGTTGTTCTTTAACAAAAGACTTTTGCCGACAAACTAGACTAAGCTGTGAACAAAATGGAAAATAGGTTTTGAACAAAGACTATTTAAAGCTCCGCAATTTAAGACTGATAGAATTAGGTGAATTAAATTTCCATTGTAAAGGTTTTGCGTTGAAATATTAATTGCTGTGGTCTAGTTTAAATTTAATATAACAGTTAGGTAATGAATAATTTACATCAGCGTTAACGAATATATATACAAAAATTATAGATATGTCGCCTAGAGATTGAAGTTACCTGACTAATGTATGGTGAAGTCTGACTGTGTCAATGTCTCTGTATTTCTGGCACTGCATTAAGGAAGTATAAAGGACAACTGAATGCCGCTTTCTTTGTCGTGTGATGGTAGAGTTGCGTGGTGTTGGCGTGAGCGAATTTATGGCGTTATATCGGCCGTGAGTATCGTAAAATAGACTATGGGAAAGGCCTCATAGATTTCAGTAGATGGTGGTTTACCCTCTCGAATAAGCCAGAAAGTTGCATTCATGAGATATTGCGTATACTAATCGGCCTGCCTCGTAGTTTAATATTATGGTTATGGTTTATATTTTCTACAATGTGATAGTCCTATGTTCAGCAGTGTACGCTATGAAGAAGAAAATTTTATAATTTAAGAATCGAAAGCAGTTTTCGCTGTGTCTTGGTCAGGAAAATACGGTATTCACTCAAAAAAACTATATGTTATTTGCTGCATATAAGCCTCTCCCAATGCGCTATTGACATTGAAGTCTTCATATTATACAGCCCTATTCCTTGTCTCAAGGTTTAGTGAAAAGAAAGAATACCCCTGAGTACTAAGAAAGCTTGCGAGCAAATAAAAAATGTTTCAGCGGTGACGTGACTTTATAAAAAGAGGAGGTTTACAACTGTACGTTTTTTTGTATGTGTTTTACGTGAATCTTCGTTAGATGTGAACTATTTTTTATGAATTTATTGTGCTGAATAGTTATACTTTAGAGATGATCCTGTATTAATTCGGCGAACAAAAAAAAATGGAATGATGAATGAACAGCTTGTAATTATACTGTCTCTCTAAATACTTCATATAGGAACTCAGTAGTGCAAGACCTATTTGAGGGTAGAATTAGGCAAGAAAATTACCAACTCAAATGGACTCCTAGGCAGAATAGTTGCCCAATCACCTAATTAAGTATACATTTAGATTCAGGATTTCAAAAAAAATATTAACTGGAACAAACAATAAAACAAAACACTACTGCAAGATTAACATACACTTATCCAATTTTAGCTGACTTTATAAAAGAGGAGGTTTACAACTGTACGTTTTTTTGTATGTGTTTTACGTGAATCTTCGTTAGATGTGAACTATTTTTTATGAATTTATTGTGCTGAATAGTTATACTTTAGAGATGATCCTGTATTAATTCGGCGAAAAAATTCTACCTCTAAGGAAGCGAAAATAGAGAATTCTTTTTTTACCCTTGTTTTAGCTTACCCTGTGTTTTTCAACATCAGAATGTCACATTATTTAGTTATTTTAAGACCAGTTTAGGGACTTAAATAGGTGTACTAGAGTATTGTTTCTTTTAAAGACTAAGGGTGACAAACAAGCATACGGTCCACCTGACGGTAAGTGGATGCTGTCGTCCATAGACATCTAGATTTATACTATATTAAGATTCAAAATGCAGTTTCCAGTTAATGGGTCTCCAATTCTCTTCACTCACCATACGAAACGCAACAACATTAGTCTGCTATTTTACGTTGGTATTCTGTGAGAACGTGGTCCTACCCCAATCACATTGACCATACTATAGCTGCAGCGTGACTCTACCACTTAAAAATATGTTGCAAAATGTTAATGCAGTAAAAAGTTCATTCGGTTCAAATCATCTCTCCTGACGAACTCCTACACGTAGATCATCAACCCGCTTTTCTTGGCTTAGGTAGAAAAACTTTACAACCAATTTTGTGCAATGCGTCAAAATAAATTCGTCATAAGTCGCACGATAAATCGAACTCGGTATATTTTCCACCGCTGTGCCATAGAGTAAAACACAATTTAAATAGAAGCGTTAAGCCTGGTTGTTCTTTAACAAAAGACTTTTGCCGACAAACTAGACTAAGCTGTGAACAAAATGGAAAATAGGTTTTGAACAAAGACTATTTAAAGCTCCGCAATTTAAGACTGATAGAATTAGGTGAATTAAATTTCCATTGTAAAGGTTTTGCGTTGAAATATTAATTGCTGTGGTCTAGTTTAAATTTAATATAACAGGTAATGAATAATTTACATCAGCGTTAACGAATATATATACAAAAATTAATTATAGATATGTCGCCTAGAGATTGAAGTTACCAGACTAATGTATGGTGAAGTCTGACTGTGTCAATGTCTCTGTATTTCTGGCACTGCATTAAGGAAGTATAAAGGACAACTGAATGCCGCTTTCTTTGTCGTGTGATGGTAGAGTTGCGTGGTGTTGGCGTAAGCGAATTTATGGCGTTATATCGGCCGTGATTATCGTAAGATCGACTATGGGAAAGGCCTCATAGATTTCAGTAGATGGTGGTTTACCCTCTCGAATAAGCCAGAAAGTTGCATTCGTGAGATATTGC